CAAGACTGATGTGCTAATGCCAGACAAGGCCCTTCCCTCCCCTCTCTGATCCACTTTCCTGCCCCAGGTGCCCCTCCCGCCCCCTGCACAGGGGTCTCCACACATCTGCTTCTTCACTTTAATTAAAGCAGTCACATGTGCCAAAGACTAAGGACATAGCATCAGCAGCTGGATGTCACAAAAGAAGTGTCCCCAAAATACTGCATTGTAAAAGGGGCATCTGCCCCCAGAGACCTCACTGGTTTAATTTTTTAGGTTTTGGTTTTTCCAGGCAGGATTTCTCTGTATGACATCCTTGACTGTTCTAAGCTTACTCTGTAGACCAGGCTGGCCTCAAACTCACAGAGATCCACTTGCCTCTGCCTCCAGAGTGCCAGGACTAAAGGTGTGCCCCACCACTGCCCAGCTGAGACCTCATCATTTATAACATGAGATTTGTCCCAAATTGGGACCTACTTGTGTTATTACAATAACCCTGAGTTGTTATAATATTATAATATATTATAATTATTAATAATTAATAGATTATTAATAATTATTAATAGAAGAGCAATTAATATAATCATATTAATATACTATTTATATAACTTGCCATTATATAATATTATATGATGTTAATATTTTCTTTTATATTAATTATGATATATAGTAATATTATAATATATAGCACCGACTTATATTATTGTAACAACCCTGAGTCTTTGTTACTGTTCTATTGCTCTGAAGAGACACCATGACCAAAGTAACTTATTAAAGAAAACATTTAATTGGGGACTTGCTTACAGTTTCAGAGAGTGAGTCCATGATCATCATGGCAGGAGATATGTGGCAGAAAGGCATGGCACAGTGGTTGAGAACTCACATCTCGTCCACAAGAAAGAGGCAGCGTGAGACTAGGCCTGGTACCAGCTTTTGAAACCTCAAAGCCTAGCCCCAGTGACACACATCCTCCAACAAGGCCACACCTCCTAATCCACCAACCAAGGGCTAAGTATTCATGTATATTAGTCTATAGGGTCCATTCTCATTCAAGCCACTACAGTCCCCTCACCATGTGACCTTGTCATTCTTCCTGTTTAGGGGAACAACTGTTTTCCCATTCAGGAGTCAGCCAGGACTTAGTGGCTGAACACAATACTAGCTTATTGCATCTATACCTGCAAGTCAACACACCAGAGACTGCGTTCTGGTCTCCAGGACCCTCATCAAGCTCAGGAACCTACAGCAAGCTCCAGAACTATTGATCCATTTCATTGCTTGGGATTGTAGGACGGAGGTCCACCATTTCTAGAAGCCATGCTCCATTCCTGTCACCGACTCTCTCTGAAGTGTGGCAGTTTGCCTCCTCAAAGCCAGCAGGATGGTATCTCTGTTGGCTAGATCTGTCACATAAGGAAAGCCTACCCAGGCTAACTTCCATTTGTGCAATTAAGAGTTAACTAATTAGGGATGTTAATCACATCTGCAAAATCATTTTACTTTTTCCAGAGAACCCAGTATGGGAGTACAATCCTAGTCAGTTCTGCAAGCTCTCCCCACATGTGAGGGGAAAGGTTTACTAAGGATATGCACACTTGGAACCTTGAGCCTAGGCCTTGCTTTGGCTGTAGGATGTGTGGATGGGAGTGTTGTGTAATTTCCCCAGTTGGTCCTTCAGGGCTCCTGCAGAGCTCCCAGGGAAGGGCAAGCGCTCCCCTGGAGACAAGAGGACCAGTCAGCTTTGGTCTCTCTCATTGTACCCACAATGAGGACCCTGGGCAAGACCAGCAAGGAAAACCATCAGCTGGGCCCAGTCAACAGAACAAGGGGAAGGAATACATTCTAACAACTTGAAGCCACACTTACATGTTTCATGCTTCAGGAAAGACAGTGGTTCTCAACCATGGGTGGAGACCCCTTTGGGGTCAATCAGAAATTCTGCATATCAGATATTACAATTCATAACAGTAGCAAAATTACAGTTATGAAGCAGAAACAAAATAATTTCATGGTTGGGGGTCACCACAGCATGAGGAACTGTATTGAAGGGTCACAGCATTAGGAAGGATGAGAACCACTGAGGTAAGAGGACCGTTTCTCTATGGACAGCAGCTTATGCAGACCAGGAAAGAAGTGTTTTCCTTATAATGAAGCAAACATCAGTACAGCTTGCGACAGGTGGAACAAACTTTGCTCCTCAGGATGAGATGGCCTTCTAGAGGTTGACAACCACAGGACAGGCTTCTAGGGGGCATCTACAAACTTCTCATTTTTTTTGAATGAATAACATCCAATATTTCCATTGAAAAATAATTGACTGTAACCATTCTCGGAATAGTCGACGACCAAAAAGTGCTATAAACCACTGAAATTTGAGGCGAGGCACTGGAGAGATGTCTCAGTCTGTAAAGTGCTGGCCACACAAATATGAGGATTTGAATTTGGATTCAGAGCATCCATGTGAAAAACCAGTAGTACAGTCTGCAATTGTGGGACTGGTGTGTGTGAGTGTGTCTGTGTGTGTGTATGTGTGTGTGTGTGAGTGGCTGGCCAGACCAACTAATCAACAAGCTTCAGGTTCAGTTGAGAGATCCTGAAATAAGTTGAATAATGATTGAGAAAGAGTCATGGCAACCTCTGGCTTCCACATGCGTGTGCACCTACTTACATGCATGCACGCATGTGCACCCCCCCCCCAAGCGAAACAGAAAAACAGGTCTAGAGAGGGGACCAGGGACCGTGTGAGAAGGCATAGTGCTGATATACTTAGACTAAGGTTGCTGCCACGGAGAGGTTATTTTGGTCCAATATATCCTCGAGGTCCTCTTGAAGAAGCAGGAAGGTAGTCAGTGGTGGTGAAGGTTCCATAGCATTAAAGCCGTGAGCAACAAAACCGTGTACCAAAGGAGCGACAGCCGCCTCTAGAAGCCAGCTGAGGCCGGGAGCTGGTTATCTCTTCAGGGTCTTTAGCCTTGACTTTAGCTCATTGACAGCTACCTGGGACTTCTGCACTCCAGAGAGTGTCACGTTAAGCTGCTATATTTGGGGCTGTCTGTTACAGCGGCAACATGACGGGAGTCCATCTCTGTCGGGGAACTATCTGTTGTGTGGTCACGCAGGGGAGAAAGGCAATCTTCTCACCCAACTGACTTTGGTTTCCTGAAGCTTCCACAGTGGCTCACAAAGATGGCTGAATGATCCGCTATGTGGATGGGTGATCATCGTCTTCATTCTGTGGCCTCCTCAGCTTCCACAAGCACAGACATTCAACTTACCACACGTTCAACTTACCACACGTTCAACTTACCACACGTTCAACTTACCACACATTCAACTTACTTACCACACGTTCAACTTACCACACGTTCAACTTACCTGCTCATCCACGCCACCCCGGCAAACAGCTCTCTACTCAGGTGAAGTTCACCTCAGGTTTGCTGTCATGTCAGCTAAGAGCATTTTCTCAGTAGCATAAAGACCTTGGGGGGGGGGGGGCGAGGGGCAGAAGGATTTCAGTCATATCTACAGGAGTGCGGGATGGGGAGATGTGTTTTCATTGGTGAATGTGCACCTTCTGGAAATGATGCTACAGTGGAGACTTGTACAACCCTCTGCCCCCTCCCCTTTCTAATAAGCCAATCATAAAATCAAAAGACAATCCTGACCCTTACAAATCTCCACACACACCCCTCCAGCCCACCCCTAGACAACAGGTGAACAGGGCAAAATCTATGTTAATGTCCACTCAATATCATTAAGGGAGAACAGCGTCTCCAGCGTAAATAGTACAACCCTGTGGTGCTTAAACATTTAAATATATAAAATGTATGTGCCTGTACTCTCCATGTGGGTGACGTGTGTGTGTGTGTGTGTGTGTGTGTGTGTGTGCATATTCATACAGGCCTGAGTTTAGGGAAAAACTGGGCTAGAAGATCCTAATGGCTTAACGCAGGTTATGAATTGTTCCTTCACCTTTCGTTTCCTTATTTGTATGTGTGTGTGTTTTGTTTTTCAAAGAACAAGACCACTGGCCTGATGGAAAATACGATTAAATAATTTGAAAACAAACGAACGGAATGGAAGATTTTTCGATGTGTGTTTCGCCAGGCGGGCTACATCCAAGAGGGAAAGCTCCAGATCCCACTTGCGCCTCCCCGAGAGCAATGGCGGAGTCATCCCTGCAGCTGTGGGCTGTAGAATTGTGTTGTGGCCTGAGGCCTGAAAATCCAAAAACAGATTTGACCACGGGGGCGGGTTCTGCTGAATGACCCAAAGAAAGCCTGCTTTGGACTCAATCTGGGGTGCCTTGTGGTCTGAGACCTCTCCCTCTTTGCTTTACAAACACACTTGCAGGTGTTGCGACCGTGGTCAGACCTCGGTCACCTCCGTCTCCACTCCCCTTTCCTGTGGTGGCGTTTTTTGTTTTAACTTATCTGAACCGGTTACAAAACCACACTCCCACGGATACATAAATAATGGATGGGGTGATGTATTAAAGAAATCCCCACAAGGCCTGGCAAAGCTGCAGTGAATGCATTTCTGCTGTATCATATTTAACTGTTTGCAAACGTCTGCAGGAGGATGCACTGCGCCTGCCGACTCCGGGGCTCATCGCACCTCTCTGTCGAGGGCCTGGCAATTCTGGCATGAGGAGTTACAAGGAGGGTGGGAGGTGGCAGGGATTCTGGGCCTGCAGGATGAAGGGGGACAATGTAAGATTGCACGGCACCTCACTCGACTTGCCACCAGCCAAGCATCTATCCATCTCTCGCCAGACTGCGGCGGAGAGGGCAGGCCCCTTTAAGAGCCTTCGCGCGCCCCCGCCCCGCGAGCGCTCATTTTCCCTAGCAACCGCCCCGGGGGAGGGGGAGGTCCTGGCAACGGCGCTCAGGCCCGGAGCATCACGTGACGGCCCGCAGCTGGAACACGAGCGCGCGCCCCGCCGAGCGCCCGCCCGCCGGGGGCCTGAGCGCTGGGGCGCGTGCGCGAGCGGTGCAGCACCGGCCGCGGGAGCAGGGAGTATTATGGGCTGTGGGTGCCGCTGAGCAAGATGGAGCTGTCTGCAGTAGGCGAGCGGGTCTTCGCGGCCGAATCCATCATCAAACGCCGGATCCGCAAGGTGAGCCCTGGGCCCGGACTGCCCTGTGTTCCCCGCGGCCGTGTCGGAGCCCGCGGCCCCTTGGGGCGCAGCGGTCCCGCTAACCCGGTTCCCTCAGCCACCCCCGCGCCGCCGTCTCTTCGCGTCCCTGCATCCTCCCCACCCCCACCCCTTATTTTTTTTTTCTTTCTGTTTTTCAGGGACGCATCGAGTACCTGGTGAAATGGAAAGGGTGGGCGATCAAGTGAGTGTCGTGGGATGGGTGGCATGGGGACCGGGGAGGCGGCAAGAAGACACCTGGGCCTTGGATAGGGGGTGCGTGATTGAGCCCTCGCGGTGTGCCCCTGCCCCTTGGGTTTTCATTTTGCTTTTCTGTACGCGTGACTCGGCAGGTACAGCACTTGGGAGCCAGAGGAGAACATTCTGGATTCGAGGCTCATCGCAGCCTTCGAGCAGAAGTGAGTTGGAGAAGCTGGCAGGCGCGGTGGGGCGCCGTGCGGGGAAGCGGGAAAGGCGGGTCGGGGAGTGGGGCCCTGGAAGGGACTCTTTTTCATCTTTGGCGTTTCTTGACTACAGGGAAAGGGAACGTGAGCTGTATGGGCCCAAGAAGAGGGGACCTAAACCAAAAACTTTCCTCCTAAAGGTAACCTGGCCCAGCCCCAGCAGCCCCCTCTTGGGCCCCCAGCCAGGGCGCAGCACAGGCTCTGCAAGGGAGGGACAGATCAGCCGCTGCCTAGGCGGGCAGGCTTTTCCAGAGGGGCCCCAGCTGGGCAGAGGGTGGTTGTGAGTCCCTGACAAGTCCCTGGCAGCAGGCCGCAGCCAGCCCAACTAGAGGGGCCTGGGAGTGGGGTAATCAGGGATGAAACCAGGAACTGGTGGTGGGAGACCTACTGTGCTCCAGGAAGCGGCTGAGTGAGGCAGGTGGGACATACTCAGGAGAGGTGACCGGGAAGCTGTATTTGCTAGTGAGACCCTTCATCTCCTCCAGCCTTGAACACACTGGCCTGTTTTGTGATTTAGAGCCTTGGAGCTATAGAGTATATAGGGTTACCTCCTGGCAAAACACTGGCTTCCCTTGCCCTGAAGCCCACCTCTCTTGGGGTGTATTCTGTGCCTTCTCCCATAGCACTTGGGGGCCCAACTTGAATTTGACCTTAAATTACTTCAATCTGAGTTTGATCATCCACACTGGACTACTAGCTTTCGGGTCCTGAGCCTGTCTACCCCCAACCCTGATATTTCTGGAGGTTCCAATGAAGATGGGGCGGGGCATGGTGAACACAGCCTGTTTGGCAAGAGAGCGAAGAACTTCATGGGAAGCCATCTTGGAGAGTTAGGGGTGTTTTTGTTTTTGTTTTTGATGAGGAAGAACAGAACCTGGGAAGAGGAAAGCAAGATGACCCGTGTTGTCCACTTAGTGCAAGGCTGCCGGTGGCCTCGGTACTTTCCCTAAAGAACTGTCAATGTCCCAGGTCTTTTCACCAAATTTGTCACCAGAAACACAGGAAGGGCTCCTTGGAGAAGAGACTGCAAGATGCAGAACCTCTTAATCTCCAGTTTGTCCAAGAAGCTCCAAGCTCAGTGGGGGAAGGGTGGACCAGTCTCGCTTTCTCGGCCTCCTCCCCCAGCCAAAGGACTGAGTGTAAAGAGTTAGCTTTGGACCAAGTGCAAATGTGGAAAAAACGTTTGGTTTCCGGAATCCTATAGTCTTGTAACCCCTACTCCCCTCCCCTAGCCACGGTGCATCTTCGGGGATTAACGCAGCAACCTTAACACTGACGCTTGAGGGTGGGGAGGGGTGGGTGGAGCAGCTGGAAGACTGGTGGGCTGTGTTGACAGCCTGTCGGCGCCCCTGGAGCGCCCTCTAGTGGTCAAGGCGGTAATGGTCTTGAGTATTGATTCTCAAAATGCCTTTTTCTTAAAAGTTGTAGTTTCTGAGTTGTTTTAGGGCCCAGCAGGGCCAAATCCTCTGCCCGAATCATCTCCTTTAATGTTCTCGACATCCCAGTGGAGTTGGTAGTACTAGTCCCCTTTCACAGATGGAAGTTGAACACATCTATAGGAAACAAGGCTCAGAGATGCGTGTGCAGGGTGGAGCTGCCTGCTGTGGCACCTCAATCCAGAATTTAGGAAGCAGCAGGACATGGAGGGATGCTCGTGAGGGATGCAGAGGTGGCTTAGGCTGGACCTGTCACTTTGTGATTAAGAGGCAGTTCAGCAAAATACACTCAGGTTTTTCTACAAAGAGTAATGCTGACACCCTGGAGCCTTTTGAGATGGCTGCCATATCCCCACTCCTCACCCTGGAAAAGAAAACAGGTTAATAACTTATCCACCACCACAGAGCTAGCAGCAGTGTCTAGATGCTGTCTGCAGTATTCCCCAAACCCCGGAGCCACCTGTCCTGTTAGTGCAGTGATTTTGAAATTCACTAAGCAGACCCGGGTCCTCCTGTCAAAAAACTTTCAACCTGAGGAGAATTACATCTGTGTGTGTGTGTGTGTGTGTGTGTGTCTATGTATACCATGTTCGTGCCTGGTGCCTGTGGAGGCCAAAGGTGGATCTCCAGAATTGGAGTTTCAGGCATTTGTGAGATGCCATGTGGGTGCTAGGAACTGAACCTGGGTCCTTTGGTAAGCCATTGTTCTTACCCGCTGAGCCTTCTGTCCAATCTGAGAACCATATCTTATGCAGTACTGTTTAGACACTGTAAAGTGAGAGATGTGTCTTATAGACCATTTGAAAGCATGGTTTAGGAAAAGCTGGTTTCTCAGAAGCCTGGACCTGACGAGTACTGGCTGCCTCCAGATACTGGTCAGCAGGAGCTCTAACGTTGCTCACAGGAGAGCACCATGGCAGGCACTGGGATGGCACAGAAAAGGGGAGTGAGGTTTGGACTGTCATCTTGGGTCCACTTTTGCACCCATTCTGCCACTCTAAGGACCGCTTGTCACCCCTCAACCTCTGTAGGGGCTAGCTAGTCAGTGGGGGCAGGAGAGGTGGCTCAGCAGCTAAGAGTGCTGCTCTCAGAGCACCAGACTCCCAAACACCTCTAACTTCAGCTCCAAGAGATCTGATGGCCAGGGAGTGGAGGCAGGATGCAGAATGAGCAGATGGCAGGCCTTTGTTTCTGAAGAGATTCCTTGAGCTCCCCCAGGGATGTGCCTGGGAGGGGTGTAAGGGGCCCCTTGTGGAACTCAACTGACTGGACAGAGGAGCCCTGGGAGCTAGCTGTGCCTGGCTCAGTGCTGCCACCTAGTGTCAGTGAATGCTGACAGGGATGCTTCAGCAGAGCCAGGTAGTCTTAGGTGTGCTTGCTCCTTGAGGGTCTCGGGCTACCTGGTAAGATAACACAGTTCACCATAAACCAGGAGACCCCGATGGGTTGTGATCTAGGTTTTGTCAGGGGACGTAACAGGTTTTCTCTTTGTACTGATTTAGCATCTAATGTGTAGGTGGAGAGTTCCCCCCCCCCCAACCCCAGACACCCAACAGATTAACCATGAGAATGAGCTCCTCCTTGGTGCCCCTAAAGTCTCACAACTAGACTGAAGTGTCACAACCTAACCCTATGCTTAGCCCCACTGGAGCCGGGGTCGCCATTAAAGTCAGGATTCTTGTCCTTCCCTATTTGGTCCTCGGCCACAGCTGTCCACTCTTACCATTACATCCTCTGAGCACTTGGGTGTGGCCTGCATGGGTCTCTGTCCCCATGTCCCACCATGGCCTCAGGAACTTCTGGGATTCTCTCTATATCTGGGCAGCGTCTGGTCTCTGTTGTCGTGTCTGCACTACATAAAGTCACCGCCTCCTGCTAGGCAGCCTGTGTCTCTAGAAAGCAGCACCTCATGGAAGGGGTGTCAGTCAGAGTAGATCTGAGTAGCTGGCCCTCATCCTTAGTGTTCTAGGTCATCTGGCAAGGGCTGAGCTGGGGTGGGACCTGAGCTGGAAGGGCCTTTCTGGGGTGGGGTTCTCATGAAGTAGCAGCTGAGCTGCTGTTGAATCCTGGGAGTTTCCAGAGCTCACATGTGCCTCTGCACCATTTCCTTGTGCCCACCAAAGGCCTAGGCTGGATTCTCACACGGGCTTCTGAGTATGGGCTTTAGACTGCTGGTGTGAATGCACTCTGGCCTGGGGAGGGAGGGTCCTGGAGCAAGGGCATCTTTTAAAGTCATGGTCATCTGTGGTCAGGGTGGATGGAGCTGGGAGGTACGAGCGGGAGTATCTACTCTGTCACCAAGAATTAGCCCTTGGAAGAGCCCTAGGCTTGCCTGAGATCCTTAACAGAAAAGAGGATTCCTCACAAGGTCCCTGTCACTATTGCTGAGTCAGCAAGAATGGCCCTGGGTTGGGAGGAGCAAACACACACACTTTGGGTAGTAAAAAGACCTTAAGAATTACCTGGCTCTTATAGACACACCAACATCTCTCTGTACTGGTTTCCTGTTTTGTTTTGTTTTGTTTTGTTTTAAAGAAGAGTATTATGTAATCCAGGCTATCCTCAAACACACTGTGTAGCTGAAGATAGCCTTGAACTTACGGTCCACCTGCCTCCATTTACAGGTATGCCCCACCATGTCAGGTTTGTTTGGTGCTAGGACGGAACCTAGGGCCCCGTGCATCCTAGGCAAGCCTGATTTGCTCTCCTCAGACCTTTCCTTTTCTGTCTGAAGGGTCATAAGTCACTGATTGTTCTGGATACTCTTTCTGAACTTGTACTGACGGAGCTCAGGGCTATCTGGCACAGGGGTGTCCAGGGACCGCGGGAAGTCTTGAGGTCCCACCCACGCCCCTTTGCCCGCAGGCCCGGGCCCAGGCGGAGGCCCTCCGCATCAGTGATGTGCATTTCTCTGTCAAGCCGAGCGCCAGCGCCTCCTCGCCCAAACTGCACTCCAGCGCTGCGGTGCACCGGCTCAAGAAAGACATTCGCCGCTGCCACCGTATGTCCCGCCGCCCCCTGCCACGACCAGACCCACAAGGGGGTAGCCCTGGCCTGCGCCCACCCATCTCGCCGTTTTCTGAGACGGTGCGCATCATCAACCGCAAGGTGAAGCCTCGGGAACCTAAGCGGAACCGCATCATCCTGAACCTGAAGGTGATTGACAAGGGCCCGGGAGGTGGCAGCACTGCGCAGGGCACCGGGGCACTGGCCCGCCCCAAAGTTCCCTCGCGGAACCGGGTCATTGGGAAGAGCAAGAAGTTCAGTGAGAGCATGCTCCGCACCCAGATCCGCCACATGAAGTTTGGCACCTTTGCGCTCTACAAGCCCCCTCCCGCCCCTCTGGCGCCCTCTACCGCGGGCAAAGCCGATGTGGCCTCCTCGGGGCCTGGGCTGCTCCTGGCCACCCCAGCTGCTGCCCCCTTTGACGCACACAGCTCTAGCTCTTCCGGCTGCCCCTCACCCACACTGCAGTCCTCTGACCCAGACGATGCACCACCCAAGCTCCTCCCCGAGACCATGAGCCGATCTGCACCCAACTGGCGAGAGTCAGAGGTGCTCGATCTGTCCATCCCTCCTGAGGCGGCTGCCATTGGCCAGCGGGTGCCCCCTGATGTCACTGCTGCTGCAGGCCAGGTGCTTCACACAGCTCTGGAGCCCACAGGTGCCGGATCCTCCGAGCCTGAGTCTGGGGACTGGCGCCCCGAGATGTCACCATGCTCCAATGTAGTCGTCACAGATGTCACCAGCAACCTCCTGACCGTGACCATCAAGGAATTCTGCAGCCCTGAGGATTTCGAGAAGGTGGCTGCTGGGGTGGCAGGTGCTACAGGGGGTGGGGGTGGCACTGGTCCAAGTAAGTGAGGGGCTTCCTCAAGGAGGGAGGCTTTGGGGGGCCTCCTTCCTGGAGTCATACTTGTGCTCCCACCCCGTCCCTGCCCTCAGACCCGTATGCCTGTGCTTTGCTTGCCTCAAACGGCTCAGTGTTGACCCAGGGATGGGGCTGGTAGTCCTGAACTTGGTTAGGGCCCTGGTAGGGCACAGGAACGAAGATCTGCTCCCTGGTGTCCCTGGCACTGTCCCTGACTCTGCAGGTGGGGCCCACTAGGTGGTTTCTGGGGATTCCCCAGAATTTGGGGTTCACCTATCCTATCTACACCCCACCCTGCCTCTCCTAGCTTGCTTCTTGCTCTGTGTGCAGTGTCTGGTCTCGGTGCTATCGGCATCTGCAGGGCCCCCAGGAGGTCCCACCTAGGGTGGACACAGTCCCTCACTACCACCCTGGCACTGAGTGAGGGAAGAGGCCAAAATGGGTCCCTCCCTCGACACCATTGAGGGTGGCAGCAGCTGGGCCAGAGGTCCCCTTCCCTGCTTGCCTACTTGTGGACCAGGCCTATGCAGATCTGCCCCACACACTGTCTCTATCCAAAACCCCCTTTCAAGTTGGAGGGGCTGGCGGACATGGCACCCTGCCACAGCCTCTGGGCATCTGAAAACCCCTTCCGTTTTCTACCAAAGGTGCTGCAAGAACCTGCTGTGGAAACTTCTGGCTGTGCATGTGTGTTTGCCCCTTGGCTCATTCTTGTGTAGATCTATGTGTGTGTTGGGTGCAGGGCCTTAGTTTTCCCCTGCAACACCCTTTACGGTTCCTCAGAACAGGGTCGCTGAAGGCGTGGCCTCTCTTGCCTTAGCCAGACCAGTCTGTGTGGTTTGTCGTGGAAGCCACAGGCCTCTCCAAACCCAGGTTGTTGGGGGGACATGGAGCCCTCAGGCTCTTCTTGGGATAGTCATCTTGAAGGTCAGACCTTTACTGCAGACATGGCAGGGGGGGGGGGACTGTGGTAGCGGAGGAGCCCAGCTGCAGCCTCTTGTTGCAGATGTTTGTGGAGGAAAGAGGAGGCCCAGAGGCCTCCCAGGGGTCTTCCCTTTCCTCTTCTCCTCTGGTTGCTTTCCCTGCTGAGGCTTCCTAACAGTCTAGTCTGTTGGAAGACCAGGTGCCTTCTGCTGCTAGGGAACAGAGGCAGCCATGCCAATGGCAGAGACCAAAGCCCCAGATTCAGGCCAGGCACCAGGAGAGTAGGCAGAGAGGAGAGAGAGCACAGAGAAGTCTGTGTTCAGCAGAGAGGGAGGTGCCGGTCCCCAGGCAGCACTGGCCTACCCTTGGCTACTGCCTGGGATTCACCTGAGTGTTGAATGGCGTGTTCCTGTGTGTAGCCTGAGCTGGCTTCTGGTATACCCAGCCCTTGGTACCTTGCTCAGAAGCATGGGGAGAGGCAGAACCACGTGCTCTAAGGACAAGTATTCTGGTCTTAGGGGGAGATACTCTTCCTTGCCACCTGCCTGCCAGGGTCTGCAGCACAGCCCCAGCCCTCCTTGCCCCAGGGTATAAAACAGGGCTCTCACAGGGTTCGAGGGGCCACAGTCTGGTCCCATCTCGTCCTGTGTTAGCTCCCATACCGTCCAAGTGCCAATTGGCTTTTCCCCCAAATAAGGGCTGGTATTTCGCCTCTGTCCCCAGGGGTGATTTCCCCCTCCCCCTTCCCCAGGTGAGCCACCACCTGGGTGCCAGTTACAGGTGTTTGCAGAGACCATAGAAATGTGTTTTCCTGAGAGTCTGTGTCATTTGTGACCTTTTTTTTGTAAAGAAGTTGTGTTTTCAGAGGTGATTTTATGACAGGAAAGTGAAAGAGTTAGTTTTGCAAAAAAAAAGAAAAAAAAAAAGAAAAAAATTTTTAAAAAGGTAAAAAAAAAAAAAAGAAAAGAAAAAATAGAAAAAAAACCCATTGTGGGACCCCTAAGAGTATAAGGTGGGGAGGGAGAAAGCTATTTAAGAAGAACGTATTAACGCAGCGATTGCACAGGTGAGGTGGCAATGTTGGGGTGGGTTGGAGGCCTGAGCTAGCTGGTGGGTTCCGTGGGATAGAAGCACCACAGAGGTGGCCACGGCTGTCCCCCTTTCCTTGACAGCAGGCAGGGTGAGTCTGTTGTGACATAGGAACATGCTTCTGCTTGCTTGAAAGAAAGGACAAGCAGTCCTAAGGTAACTAGCAGGAAGCCCAGGGACAGGCAGATGGCGGTAGTGGGACTCAGTGGGACCCGACTCACTGCTGCACGCATGCTCAGTGGGACCCGACTCACTGCTGCACGCATGCGCAAGGCCTCAGGGTGCATAGACAGGGAAGACGTGGGCCTGCCCCAAGCAGACTCCTTCCGTCTCCTGAGTGGTCTGGAGCAGGAGACCCAGAGGCTGCACAGACTCCTACACAGCCCTGCATCATCAGCCTACTGCAGGCCCCTCCCCCACCCCTGCTGCTTTTCATTTGCCTAATTACCAAGCAGAAGTTGCAGTCCAATTTGCTTTATTTTTTTTGTATGTGAAATGATCTCCCTACCCCGCCCTGCAGGTTGTACCCTGTAAGCACCCTTCCCACCCACTTGTCAGGAACTAGGAGTGGGTGAGTCCTGGGTCTTGGGTTTTGAAGATGGAGGATTGGGACCCATCCCTGTTGTGGTTCTTGCTCTGATCTCAGTCAGTTCCTCTGTGAAAAGCTGGACAGGGCAGCGAGGCCTCAGCTGGAAGCACTCTGGGACCTCCAGCTGCCCAGCCCGAGGGAGCAGGGTGAGCGCCCCTCCCTGGCTTCAGCGGGAGCTGGTGGAGGAGGGCATTGTCTCATTTCAAAGGAGGCTGAGCTACTTCACTGGAGTATGGAGGCTCAGAGCTCAGGCTGTTCTGCCCTTTAAAGGGAAAGATGGGACTCTCGCTGGCCATGGCCTAGGCTGGAGAGTTGGCCCTAGCAGAACGAGATCAGTCAAGGATGAGCTAGCCTCTGGGGACCTGAGAGGGCACATCTACCCCTTCTCCTTACTTTTCTGGTTTGTTTGGGTTTTTTGTTTGTTTGTTTTTCTTTTTCTTCTTTTGTTTTGTTTTTTTGCACTTCGATGGATGGTGGAGCCCAGCCTGGTCAGTTCTACCCTTGGGTTCCGGTGCACTAGACCAAGGTGGCCTCTCTGGGGCTTCTGTGGTTCAAGGAATCACTTTTTAAAAGATAAGAGAAAATTTAAGGGTTTTAGTTTTGTTCTGTCTGCTTCTCTTCTTGGTTCAGAGAGTGCAGAGAGTGGTTCCCCTTCTGACAGACACTTGAGAAGCAAAAATAGGCACCTGGTCAGGTGGGGGCTCAGGACCCCACTTCCCAGCCTACAGTTCCCTCCGTCCTTAAAGGAGTCAGGGTTTCGCTCCAGCTGTATGCAGTGTTCTGGCCGTGTGATGGAGCCAGAGGGTCTGAAGGGGCCGAGTGGTGGGTGTCAGACGCTGGACACACCTGGGCTGAGGGGGGGAAGCAGGCATCTTTTTGTTGGTTTTAACTTAAAAACACAAAGGCCTAAAGAAATATGTATCTTATAATTTTTTTAATTTTTAAGAAGCTTGTTTGATGAACTGCACGAATGGATTCTATATATATATATATAATATACGTACATAGCTCTATATTTGGGGACGGGCACTGTCTCTTTTCTCTCGCATTTTAAAGATGAAGTGTCTTTGCCTTTGTCTGTGGTTCAACCATCCAGCTCCCAGCTGGCTAAACTTTGCCTCCAGTGGTTAATGGCAGGAACTTAATAAAGCTGGCCAGTGGACGAAGGGGCAGGCCCCCAGTCTCCCCTGCCCCTCGGGGAGGATAGCTTATTTTGGACGTGGGTTTGGTAGATCTGGGCCAGGGGAGGGCGGGCTCGTGCTGATCACTCTGTCTTGTACGTTTTGTTCTGCTGCTCTTCAATATTGTATCGATGCCAGGAAAGGGGGTGAAACCTCCTTCACCCCCAAATAAATTGTCACATTCCGAAGCTATATCCTAGCCCCCTAGGTGAGATGTGTGCCTCATTTCTTCTGGTTCCCAGGGTAGTTTTTCTTGTTTTGAAGTGGTCTCTAATACACGCTGGTGTCACACTCTGGAGCTATAGGTGTGAGCCACTAGCCTGGGACAGCAGAGGCAGGTCAGTCAGTGCAGAGCAGATAAAGGCACTTGCTGTGAAACTTAGTAACCTGAGGTCTAGTCCCAGAACCCACACAAAAAGGAAAGAAGAATAACCAGCAACCAGCTCTGTACAGTTGTCCTCTCTCCACACTCATGACACGGCATGCTTACACATACTTCATGCAGGTGTGTACACACACAAACACACAAGGGGCTGGAGAGGTGGCCTAGAGTTACGAGCACTTCTGCTCTTGAAGAAGACCCACGTTCCAGTCACAGCACCCACGTAGGGTGGCTGTCGATGTCCTATAATTCTAGCTTCACATGTATCAGATGCCTCTGGCCTCCCTCCATGCACGGATACACATACATGTACCTCTTTTAAAATTTAGTCCACGAGGGTAGAGAGTTATTCATGAGGATGGATGGTGCCAGCACTGGGACAGTCCTCTGCCATGGCAAAACCCTCCCAACCCCTACCCACGATCAACTGTAGGCCTGTAGTACACTTGGCCAGGAACACTGAAGCCTGCTGTTCTTGGAAGTGTGGCTTGTGGCTGGTAGGCACATGGCTGGGGTGGAGGGGCCAGGGGCCAGCACCCATGAGGCTGTCACTCTATAGCCTAGAGCCATACAGGTCTGGAGGAGTACATGACTGCTTTCCTGCTGGTCCCCACAGTCTAGCACCATGGTCAGAGCGTGGAGTCTTTCAGATTCTGAGTGACATGAGTCATCCCCAGGACCTGAGCAGGAAGCAGCCTTCATCAGTGTCCTTGGTAAGCTGCAGGCTCCATCCAGCACATTCTGTGAACATCTGTTGGTGGGCAGTGTCACCACCCCCTCCTCCTCACACCCCAGTATGACGTCTCCATGTCCAGTGTCACAATTGCCTCCCCTCTTTGCGGCCCTGTTTCCTAGCCTGTTCCCTTTAGCAGAGCCATAGCCATGGACGACATGTCTGTATTCCTGCCTGCCTCCCAACAGGGGCTCTGCAAACTCTTCAGCCTGCAGTGGAGCTCAGTACCCTCAGCCTACAAGGTGTCCTCTCCCCCACCTCTTGTCACCCACCCCAATACATGTCCTTCAAGACCGCTCCCATTGTCCAAGTGCCTGGCCATTCCGGAAACCTGTCCTCCAGGCTCTGTCCTGATTGCACCTGGCATTGTCCTGTGATCTCTTCTGACCCCTCCTTCGAGGCTGGTTGCCTTCTCTCGTCTGCTGGCAGCTGGAGCACACTCTTGGCACACTGAAGACCCACCCTCTCAAACTGAAACTGAGGGGACAGTGATGCCCTCCAGCAGCTGAGAAGCAGATCTTCGCTGACTGACTCTGTTTTGGCACTGCCAGCGGCCTTGGCTTGTGGCCAGCAGGACCAACAAAGGAGGGGGGGGCATATATCTACCCAAGACTGGCCATGGAGATGAGGGCTGAAGAAACCAGGGTGAACAGGAGGAAAGGACCTCACAGAAGCGCTGGCAGGGGGTGAGGCAGAGGAGTCCAGTCATGAAGGCTATGCTGGGCCTTTGTGGCATTTGCTTTGTGTCATTGACACCTAGACACCATCTCATCACGTGGAGAACCAACCTCACTGTTGCACTCCTGGGAAGCTCCCAGGAGGGAAATTTTGTTTCTTGAAATGGATTCATGCAGCCCAGGCTAGTCTCATATTCAGTAGGTAGCTGAAGGTAGCCTTGGACTTCTACTCCTTCTGCTTTTACATCCCAAGTGCTGGAATTACAAACATGCACAACCAAACCTGGCAATGGAACTTACCCTGTAGACCAGGCTGGCCTCCAAGTCAGAGGACCACTTGCCTCTGTGTCCAGAGTCCTGGGGATGAAAGTCAGACTCGGGGCAGGGTGAGGAGTGGGGTTGCTGTTGGGTGAGAATGACTGTTCGTTTTTGCAAGCCTGATTTGTTGATTTTGAAAAGCTGTTGGGCTGTGTGAAGCAAGTGGTCAGAGAAGCTGTATTAGAAGGCCACGCCCCTCCTCCCAGGCCAGATGAGGATGCTATGATGCTTCATCCAGATGCTAGCCTCAATGAGAACTCAATTCAGAAGGTCCCATAACCTGCAGAGGCAGGGCACACCGACACCTGCTCTTCAGTGGTGTGCCATAGAGGAAGTGACAGGGGAGAGAGGCTGGGTCCTGGCCTCCTGAGTCCCAGGCAAACTGAGTATCTGTAAGGGAAGACATGTACCTAGGAGAGTCCTGGTGTGTGTATGTGTGACCATGGCCACTCCACGGTGAGATTTGAAGTGACATCTGTAGGGATGATGAGATCTGAGCATGGGAGACAATAGGACCAGAAGAAGTAGGTAGAGTCCGGGGTGTTTGGAATGTGTGGGACTTGGTGATCAAGTGCCTTTAGAGTTTTCTAGAAGGAGCTATAAAAACCACTAGTTATGTGAGGTGTAGGTAAAGAAGTAGGAGTTGGCACAGGGCCACGAACCCAGTGAGGAGGCAGCTGGGGAGATGACTTAGTGGGTAAAGTACTTGTCACACAAGCACAAAGCCCTGAGTTCGAATCCCAACTCCCATGTAGATAGTCAGGTGTGGTCCTGTGCATCTGTAATCCCAGGACAAGGGAGGTGGAGACAGAATCCTTAGGGTTTACTGGGCTAATCTAGGCTCATCTGTGAGTTCTAGGTTCAATGAGAGACCTTGTCTCAAAAACTAAGATAGAGGCCAGGAGGTGGTGGCACACGCCTTTAATCCCAGTACTCAGGAGGCAGAGTCAGGCAGATCTCTGAGTTCGAGGCCAGCCTGGTCTACAGAGTGAGTTCCAGGACAGCCAGGACTACACAGAGAAACCCTGTCTCAAAAAACTAAACAATAAAACAACAACAAAAGACAGAAAACCTAAGGTGGTGGGTCAGTGATAGAGAAACACCTGCTATGGACTTGAGGCGACTACAAGGAGGTTCTGGGGGGATATACACACTCTTGGAACACCTTGAGGGTGAGTGAATTAGACAGAGGGCCCAGAGGAACTATTTAGGAATATTCCTGAGGCTGAGCCAGTCCCTGCCAACTCAAGCACCACTGGAGTCTTGAAGTCTACCCCTGACATCCCTCAGCTCTGAGGTAACTCCACATCAGTCATTTTTTGAAGACCACCAGGCACTTGGGGATTAATTCTAGAGGGTACTGGGAAACTCAGGTGGGGGACAGTGTCAGCCCCTTGTACTCCCTGTCCCCTTCCCATTTCATGCCTTCCATCACTGTGAGCAGCTCAGTGGTGAGACACACCTCACACAGGTGAAGAGGCAAGGTACATTGTGGGGGAGCCCCCCAAATCTGTCCAGAGAGTGGAGCCTGGTCTGGGGTACAAGGACTAGAACCTTGTGTAGTAAATCAAAATATTAGAGGCACTATATAAAAAGTCACTGAAATCTTTTCAAATATTCAAGCTTCTAAGGTAGTATATTTTAGAAGTCCCTGGAGACCAAAAAAAAAAAAAAAAAAAAGAAGAAGAAGAAGAAAGAAAGAAAAAGAAAATGAAGCATCTGAGAGGCTGGCAGATGCTGCCCCATGGGCACTCCGTGGGCTGCTGGGAACAGAACTAAGACCTATTGGGAACAGAACTGGCCCCTGCAGGTCTTGGTAGTTAAAGAGCTTAAACTGCACCCCTATGTAGGGGTGGGGCCCTGGGACTGGGCCAGCAGAGATTCAGAACTAGGATGTCTGTGTTGAACTGGACCCCAGCCCGGGATCACCCCTGTACAGAGGTGATGCCTGAGAACTTGGCTCATTCCTGATGCTGCTAGAAACACACAGAAAGAATCCTCTCTTGAGAAATTATAACTCTAAACCTTTCCTGGCACAAAGTTAAAAGTGTGAACTTGTGTTTCTCACACAGCCCCAGAACTCTCAAATTGAGAAATTAATATAAAAACAACCCCGTGTTGCATGACACCAGAGAGCATGTGGGAATAGCAGATAAAAATCTCTCTGGAACACTGTGCCCACTGCATAGCCCACATGGGATTTCCTCTGAGGAAACCCCTGGTAGCCATGAGATCCCAAGCTCAGATGGCAAAACACAGCAAAGGCTCAAAGGTGGACTGTGGGTAAAGGATTTGGGACCGAACACTTCATTAGCAGTAAAGGGTAGGGAGCTCAGAAGATCCTGAGTGTCACTCAAAGAAGTGCTGGACCGCTGATCTACATCCCTGGCCCAGTTTTGATCTAGGGTCTCTCTCATTGAGTTGTCCAGACCAGCCATGAACTCACTCTGTAATCCTGGTGGGTTTTGAATATGATCCTTCTACCTCCATACCTGAATCTGAGATACAGAGTCTACACTGCCAGGCCTGGCTCCCAACACCTTTTAAAGTATGCACCAAGGATTTCAAAACTTAGCATGTCTATCCTAAACAGAACATAAAGCAAATCTCAGTAAAATTTTAAGAATCGGTGTCACAGATTACATAATTGGATTAAGAGTCAGTGGTGGTATCCTGGCACTGTGGTATGAAGGCCAGCGAGAGAGAGCAGAGAGCCCAGACACAGACATTCATTTATAGGGTCAGGTGACTTGCTTACATTTACTTACTTGCTTATTGTGTGCTGCAGCCACAGGTAGAGATCAGAGGACAACCTTTGGGAGGAATCTCTCTCTGTGGCTCCTGGGGAACAGTCTTAGGTCCTCTGGCTTGCCTGGCAAGAATCTTTACTTTCTGAGCCACCACACCAATCCTCATAAATTATTTTTTTCAAATGGGCCCAAACTAGCCAGTGGCAAAAGAACAGTCTTTTCCCTTTTGAGACAGGCTGCCCTTAAATTTTCTGTGTAGACAAAGATGTTTTTGAAGTCCTGCATACCACATGTGGTTTATGTGGTGCTGGGTGGGGTGGAAACTAAGGCTCTGTGCATGTTAGACA